GAAACTGAAGCGCCCCCCCCTCCCCCCAGGAAGCACTGAGATCCCCCAAGGCAGGCCCCGCCCCGCCCACCATGGAGCCCCCTCTCAGAGCGACTGTCCAGTTGGCCCGAACGCCAGCCTTTTCTTTCTGCTCCGGGTGAAGACAATGGTTTGGAAAGAAAACTGCCTGTCGGGGAGCTGGTGGTCTGGCCCACACAACACCAAACGCTGATGCGATGGCGGTTTTGTAGACTATTCCGGCCACTGAATGAGCAATGTGTCCCCCTGGGGGTGTACCACTCGGCTCTCCCCCCAAGATCCAGGTGGCACTTGCTGTCCAGCAGCGAGGAGAGCAGTTAGCTGTTAGCATCTTCAGGGTGTCACCCTGGGCCAGTGATGGCGAACCTATGACACGCGTGCCAGAGGTGACACGCGAACTCATTTTTTTTTGGTTGATTTTTCTTTGTTAAATGGCATTTAAATATGTAAAATAAATTTCAAAAATGTAAGTTTTGTTTTACTATGGTTGCAAATATCAAAAAATTTCTATATGTGTCACGGCACCAGAGTTAAGTTAGGGTTTTTCAAAATGCTGACACGCCGAGCTCAAAAGGTTCGCCCATCACTGCCCTGGGCCCATGTCAAGCTATCTCTTGAGCAGTCCCAGCGATGGCGGGGGAGGGGGGAAGGGATAACAGGGCCGGACCAAGACTGCATCCCAGGTTCCCCTGCCATTCCTGCTCCTCCCCCTCTTATCACCCTGAGACCTTACCCCCCACCCCCTAACTTCCTACATATCTAACTCCACCTCAGTAGATGCCTCTGGAGGTTAGGGCATCAGTCAAAACACCAACCCCTTGCTTTCAGGGTCTTGATGGGCACAGCTGCCGAACGGGCGAGGATGCCACGGGAACATCCACAGAAAGCCGGGCAGCGTGGCGATGGGCCAAGGGCAGCATTAAGCCCGACCAGACTTTAGGAGGAAGTGGAGGGCGGGGTCAGCCGGACTTAAGGCAGCGCGCGGGGCAGTGGCTCCTCAGGCCGACTTAGGGTTGAGCCACTTCCCAGCCGTGTGACCTTGGCTGAGACTCACCCTCTGAGGCTGTTTCCTTGCCTGAAAACTGGGGGTGACAGGGTCTCTTTCTCCGGGTTGCTCTGAGGATGAAGTCAATGTTCCAGCAACTCTCAGGAAAGGGTAGCTGGAGTTGTTACTACTTACTACCCCGAGAGGGTCCTGAACCCACAGGCCTCCTCGTGTGCCTGGGAAGGTCCACCTCACCCCCCTCAGGCCCCCAGCACCCAGCACCCAGCCTGGTGCCTTGAACGTGACGCTGGGTCGGTACCTGGCAGGCAGTCGTGGTGATGGTCGCATGGCTCTCCTTCGGCTGGGGATGTCTCATTGCCATCACTGGAGAGTTTACCCCGGGTCTTCTCTGGGGACAAGAAGATCGCGGTCAGACGCTGCGCCCAGCGGGGCCGAGAGCAAGCACACGGATGCTGGTGTCAGAGCGCACGCACCGCCATCCCACAGTGTGGCGGGGACTCCGCCTCTTTTCTAAACTGGGCCCATGGATAGCACAGACCTAACCTTTTCTTTCAGGGTCAAATGGGTTGACACATGGAATGAGTTTGGCACTTGATAAGTCCTCAATAGTGGTATTTCCCTGTGGGGTGCGCGTTGCAGTGTGGACTCCATGCCCCACCCATCCCCCACTTTGGACATCTGTAGGTCAGGCTGGGAGAGGGGAGGGAGCCCAGGCATGGGGGTGGTGGGTAGGTGGATGTACCTTTCTTGTTTGTTGTTTTTTTTTTAAGATTTTTAAAATTGTTTAATTTTTTATACTTTTATTCATTTCAGAGAAAAAGGGAGAGGGAGAGAGAGAAAAAAACATCAATGATGAGAGAGAACCATTGATCAGCTGCCTCCTGCACATCCCCTACTGGGGATCGAGCCCACAACCCAGGCATGTGCCCTGACTGGGAATCAAACTGTGACCTCCTAGGTCAGTGATGGCGAATCTATGACACGCATGTCAGAGGTGACACGCAAACTCATTTTTTTGGTTGATTTTTCTTTGTTAAATGGCATTTAAATATATAAAATAAATATCAAAAATATAAGTCTTTGTTTTACTATGGTTGCAAATATCAAAAAATTTCTATATGTGAGACGGCACCAGAGTTAAGTTAGGGTTTTTCAAAATGCTGACACGCCGAGCTCAAAAGGTTCGCCATCGCTGTCCTAGGTCATAGGCTGACGCTCAACCGCTCAGCCCCGCCTGTTGGGTGAACGTACCTTTCTTTTTGGCAGAGGGCCAGGCCTCAGGTTTTAAGTCTTCATAATCGGTCCAGTCGAACAAGGCCATGTCCAGCGTGGGCATCACCTCCCCGTCAGGCCTGGGCTGAGCCTGCAGAAGGTGGGTGGAGAGGAGGGAACGTGGAGCCCCAACAGGTAGAAACAGAAATGTGGGGCCCCAGGGCCAGAGGGCAAAGGAGGGGCTCCTCAGAGGCCAGTCACCCTCTTCGAGAAGCCCAGCCCCGGGACATCCAGACAGTCACCGAGGTCCCTGCTGCAGCAGTCACCAGGGTACTGTCCTCATTTCACATCCAGGCAGAAAGGTGCCTACAGGCGACCGATGCAGACAGAGGGGTCACCCATCGGGCCTCTGAGGGAGGGGCTGGGAAGGCCTGCTCAGGTCTCTACATCCACAAAGAGGGAGTTGGATGAAGCCAGCTGCTCACTTCCCTGCCCCTCTTTCCCTGGGGAAGTTATCAGCGGCCAGGGCACCGCTCAGCCATGGCCACAGCTCTGTTGCACTCACAGCCCCGGAGCAGCCGTCGGGGCTGGATCTGCCACAGTAGGACATGGGCAATAAAGGCGCCTTTCGGGGCTGGTGCTCAGTGCAGGGACTTCAGGGGGCCTGCGAGGGCAGGGATAACCAGGTATTCTTTGGGGATGGTTCACAGCTTTTCTCAGAATCTCAGGGGGTGCAAGACCCCAAAAGAGAATAAGAAAGATCTTCTGCTAAAAAGTAAAGTTCTTTTCTTCTACATATACCTTATTGATCATTTTAGCTGATATTATTACTTTAAATATATTTTTATTGATTTCAGAGAGGAAGGGAGAGGGAGAGAGAGATATAGAAACACCAATGATGAGAGAGAATCATTGATCAGCTGCCTCCTGCACGGCCCCCCACTGGGGATCGAGCCTGCAACCGGGGCATGTGCCCGTGACCAGAATCAAACCCAGGACCCTTCAGTCCGCAGGACTGCCCTCTATCCACTGAGCCAACCCAGCTAGGGCTACGTGATATTATTTTGGAAAATACTGCAAAGCTACAGAAGAGGTGCAATGATGCGTATCTTGCTAATTGCAAGGATGATGCAATGAACTCCCATGTTCCCTTCCTCTATTTGCCGGTGGAAGCAAATTGGCCACAAGAGCTCACCTGCTCTCTCCATACGTATATGTAAAGGTCTGAAGCAGATGTGTTAACTAACACCTGTTACTTCTGGGTTGTGGGGACGGGGCTTTCTGCGGTGTTGTTATTCTCTGTACTTTCTCTCTGCATAAAATTCTCTGCCAAAGACCCTGCTCTTCTCCATTCAGAGACCGGTGTGCTGAGCGGGCACTGGCTTCCTTGGCTGTCCCCAGAGTGAGCCCCCAGGACCACCTTCTCCTGGACAGTGGCCGCCCTTTCAGGACAGAGTGCCCACCGGGCTGCAGCTGGGCTGGACGGGCACCAGGAGACCTGGTTTCCAGCTTACCCCAGGGGCCTCCACCAATTTCCTTCCACCCCCGTGCCTCAGTCTCCCTAAATGACTCAGGGATTTGCATGATGTGGTCTCAAGGACTCTTCTGGCTCCGAGGCCTTACCTGGGGCCACAGGGATGTGACAGGCAGGATCAGGGACTCTTCCGTGGCAGGTGCTGCCTCAAAGGTGGTGAGGTAGAGGATGGTCGGGGCCAGGCTGGTGGACGACTCCTCCATGGCAGCGTCCAGCGCCTGGTCTTCGGGCAGCTCCACCTTCTTCATGAGGGAGCTGGGGCCTCGGACCAAGGCTCGGCCTGAGAGACAGAACAGGAAACACAGGGCCTTTATCTGCTCGCCGCCCCGCATCGGCCCAAAGCAGAACCCACGTTTCTCGCTGCAAACAAGGGGGTGGAGGCATCACGTGACAAGTCTGACAGCCTGGCTAGCCATTGGCTCCCAAACCTCCCTGCTGCCCACGCTCCTGGGGAGGTGGAAACCGGGGCCTGAGGGCGGAGGAATGTCTGGGGTGAACTTGCAGTGTTGCTGGGGAGACAGCCCAGGGATTCTCAATCTAAAGCAGTGGTTCTCAACCTTCTGGCCCTTTAAATACAGTTCCTCATGTTGTGACCCCAACCATAAAATTATTTTCGTTGCTACTTCATAACTGTAATGTTGCTACTGTTATGAATTATAATGTAAATATCTGATATGCAGGATGGTCTTAGGCGACCCCTGTGAAAGGGTCGTTCGACTGCCAAAGGGGTCGAGACCCACAGGTTGAGAACCGCTGATCTAAAGCAACATTATAGCAAGTCCAAGTCTGGGATGGCTGGGTGCAGCCCAGGGTGTAAGTACGACAAATGGGAATTAGTAGGATTAACATGGAAGGCTTCCTGGAGGAGGTCAAGCTTAAGTAGAGGAGCAACGAGATAAGGCTGAGAGGCGTTGCAGGGGGAGAGGCCTTTGAGAAGTCTGGAAGGTGAGAGCTGAGGCTTATCACACACGAGGGAAGGCTGGCTACGTGGTGATAACACCCGCTGTTTGCTGAATGCCTGTGTGTGTGAGGACCCGGGTGTATGCCCCGTCCTGCGGTACTAGTATTAGTTCATGAGCTCTGCAGGAGCTCTGGGAGGCAGGTACTCTGTGAGCCTCATCCACCAGGGAGGAAACTGAAGCACAGAGAGGTTAGGAGACCTCCCCGAGGGCACACAGCCGGTAAATACTGAAGTTTGAATTCGAACCCAGCTCCACCTGAGGATAAAATGAATACTTTTAACCACCAATGCCGCCTTCCAAGACACATGGGCATGAGGTAGGTGAGTGTGACCCGGCAGGGTTGGGGTGGTCGGGAACACGGGGCTTCGAGAGAAGCTGGAGGGCCGGGCTCTTCCCTGCCTCTTTGTCTCAGGCGAGAGCTGACTTTAAGGCTGGTTGGGTCGTTGGGATCACTCCACTCTCCAGAAATGAATCCCAGAGATGAGAAAGGCCACTTAGGGACCTTCGAATCTGTTCCTTTCATTTCCCAGGCTTCACAGCTGGTCAGCTGGGCTGGACTGGGCCTGGCCTCCAGACCTCCCGTGCCCCCTCCTCCTTTTGCGCGCTCTCTCTCTCTTTTAAAATATTTTTATTGATTTCACAGAGGAAAGGAGGAGAGAGAAACATCAGTGATGAGAGAGAACCATTGATCGGCTGCCTCCTGCACGCCCCCCACTGGGGATCGAGCCTGCAACCCTGCATATGCCCTGACAGGGAATCGAACTGTGACCTCCTGGTTCATAGGTCGATGCTCAACCACTGAGCCACACCGCTCGCTCTCTTAGGGCCCCACCGGTCCCCTGGAGCTGGGGGCTGGAGCTGAGCTGAATGGATCCACACCCTATGTGTGCCCTCTGGCTTGTCCCTCCAGGATGCCAGCATCCAGGAGTAGGGGGCTGAGAATCTAAGCTGCCCCCCCCCCGCCACGCATACACCTGCGGACTGTGCTCTGCCCACGTGGGGGGTCCCAGTAGGCCTGGCAGGAAAGCAAGCCCCAGCTGTTTGCAGGGGGAGGCGGGGCTGAGGCTCCACCACGCTCCCCCTGCAGAACCCCTTCCGCTCTGTGCTCTGTGTCTGCACCACCAGCCCTGCCCCTAGAGGCAGTCTTGTCACAGGAAGAGGCTTGGAAGCTGCGGTTGCGGTTTGGGGCTGGAGGCCAGGTGAGCCTGGGGAGGAGCCAGTTGAGTGTAGCTGCTGGGAAATGTTTGTTCAGAGACGGAATGGGCAAAGGGAGGGGGCGCTGGGAACAGTGGCAGCTAGCTGCTCGCAGGGGCTTGGAGATGTGAAGGAAGGTGGGGAGGGCTAAGGGGATGGGGAGCTCCGCAGGGAACAGACAGGGCAGAGGCCGGAGCGATAGCGATGAGACGCCTCCCCCGGGACCTCTGTGTCCAGGTTGGAGGACACTGGTTCAGCATCAAGAAGAAGCTGAGCGTCACCTAGCAACAACGGCTCCCCGTCCCTGCCGCCTGCCAGGCACCTCCCCAAGCTCTCCACATATCAGGTGGTCTCTGGGCCTCCGCTGAGGCTCGATGGGGCCATTTTCCTCATTTTGCAGAGGGAGAAACCGAGGCACAGGCCAGTGACTCATACAGCTGGTCACTTGGGCGGATTCTGGCTTCAGAATCTATGCGCTCAGCCCTGCTCTGGGCCTCGGAGGCGATGAAGTGATGTCCTTGGAGGGCCCTGAACTGGTCCATGGCTAATCAGTATATTCAAGGTCAGATGCAAAGTCGAGCTTCTGACGTGGGAGGATTACCTATTGATAAGACTGAGCGTCGCCCTAACCGGTTTGGCTCAGTGGATAGAGCGGCGGCCTGCGGACTGAGGGGTCCCGGGTTCGATTCCAGTCAAGGGCATGCACCTTGGTTGTGGGCACATCCCCAGTAGGGGGTGTGCAGGAGGCAGCTTATCAATGTTTCTCTCTCATCGATGTTTCTAACTCTATCCCTCTCCCTCCCTCTCCTTTCCTCTTTGTAAAAAATCAATTAAAAAAAAAAAGACAGCGTCTATGGCCACACGTCCCTCCCTGCCTCTCCCAGGCTCCTCCCCTCGCCAGATCCCTCTGACCTTAGTAAGACCCCTCACTCCTCTGGGTGCCCATTGCCTGCCTCCTTTGGGGCCTCTGGATGTCCTTCCAGTGACCTTACACCATGGACACCCCCTCCGGGCCTGCTCCTAAAGCCATCTCCGCCCCTCACTCCGCCCTCCCTTCCATCTCAACACCCCACCCCATCCCAGATATCCAGCTACCTCTGTGCAGTTTCAACCTCTCCCTGCGTCTCTTGTGCTCCCTGCTGCGTCTCTTCCCTGGAGACCGGTTCTCCTTCTCAGGGTAGGGCAGGGCCAGCCCCAGGAGCAGACTCTTGTCCTGCAGCAGGCCTGCAGGACTTTGCCTAGGCAGCAGCCCCCCTGCCCCTGGCAGCCTGGAGGCCTGCCTGGTGGAGGTGCCCACAGCTCCATCCTGGGCCCGGCCAGGCATGCCTGGCCCCCGCTCCTTCTTGCCCAGGCCCCGCCGGTGGTGGTGGCTGGCCTGAGGCGTCCACAGTGCTGGGCCTGGGAGGTTGATGTGATTCTCAGGGAGGTTTCGAGCAGGGGTTCCAGGGCCCAGGGAGCCGGCCAGGCTCAGCTCCAGAAACGCCAGGAGGGCAAGGAACAGCATGGGGGCAACGTGGGTGGTGGGCCCAGCCATGGGCTCCTCCTGCAAGAAAAGCAGCATTTGAGGGGGCAGCTGGGCAGCCCTCCTCCTCCACTTCCCCACTCCCAAACCCCTCCCTGACATCCCTGCCGCCCAGTACTTCTCCACAGGGACAGAGGGGACTTTGCCCCCAGGGGGTAGTTGGCAATTCTGGGCTGGCAAAACTGGGCAGTGTTATCCCGAAACGCCAATCAGAAAGAATGCACCCCTATGTTCATAGCAGCGTTATTTACAATAGCCAAGATCTGGAAACAGCCCAGTGTTCATCAGTAGATAAGTGGATAAAAAAAGCTGTGGTACAGTTACATAGTGGAATACTATGCAGCTGTGAAAAAGAAGGATCTCTTACCCTTTGAGACAGCATGGAGGGATGTGGAGAATATTATGCTAAGCAAAATAAGCCAGTCAGAGAAAGACAAGTATTACATGATCTCACTTATATATATGTGGAATCTAATAAACAAAATAAACTGAGGAACAGCCCTAGCCGGTTTGGCTCAGTGGATAGAGTGTTGGCCTGCGGACTAAAGGGTCCCAGGTTCGATTCTGGCCAAGGGCACATGTCTGGGTTGCAGGCTTGATCCCCAGTGGGGGGCGTGCAGGAGGCAGCCGATCAATGATTCTCTCTCATCATTGATGTTTCTCTCTCCCTCTCCCTTCCTCTCTGAAATCAATAAAATATATTTTTTTTAAAAAGAGAAACTAACTGTAGTAAAGGTTGCCAAAATAAAAAACACAACCCCCCCGCCCCCCCCAGCCGAGGAACAAAATAGATCCAGAGGGATGGAAACATGGAACAGACTGACAAAACTCAGAGGGAAGCGGGGGGGGGGGGCGATTAACCAAATAATTTATATGCATATATGCATAGCCCATGAACACAGACAATAGGGTGGTGAAGGCTGGGAGCGGGGTAGGAACTGGGTGGTGGTGGGCACAGGGGAGAAGAAAAAGGAAGGACATTTGTAATACTCTCAACAATCTATATATACTAGAGGCCCGGTGCATGAAAATTCGTGCACTTGGGGGGTTCCTCAGCCTGGCCTGTGCCCTCTCACAGTCTGGTAGCCCTCAGGGGATGTCCGACTGACTGGCCTCCTTCTGTGGAAGGTGACCCCGCCCCCCCATTGCCCTTCCGCCACCACTGGTGGCCTCCCTCTGCGGGAGGTGATCGGGCCGGCCAATCAGGGGATGGCGCCAGCCTACAAGTGGCTGGCCTTGCCATCGCCCCCCCACCCCCGATTGCCTCTCTGCCGCTGCTGGTCGCCGCCGCCCCCCAATTGCAGTCCCCTCCCTTTGCTCGCTGGCCCCACCCCCACCCAATGGGTCGTTCTGCCATCCGGTCGATTTGCATATAGGATAAAAGCATAATATGCAGATCGACCGGATGGTGGAATGACCAGTTGCTATGATGTGCACTGACCACCAGGGGGCATACGCTCAATGCAGGAGCTGCCTGCAGGCCCCCATTGCCCGATCGGGGCCTACTGGCCAACCTCTTGGTCCCTCCCCCCGGCTGGCAGGCTCTGATTGCCCGGTGGGGAATGGGGAACCGGGGGTGGGTGGCAGCGGAGGGGGCAGTGCCAGGCCAAGGCAGGTGTGAGTGAGCGGGGCACCAACAGCCCCGCCGGTCACCCCACAAACGCAGGGTGACCGGCATCTACAGCGGGGGCAGGGCTGGCTGCTGACAGCTGGGGAAGATCGGCCCTGATTGTAGGCCAGGCCTAGGGACCCTACCCGTGCACGAATTTCATGTGCCAGGCCTCTAGTAATAAAATACAATAAAATAAAATATGCCCAGCCGGGTGTGGCTCAGCAGCTGAGCATTGACCCAGGAACCAAGAGGTTACTGGTTCAATTCCCAGTTCGGGCACATGCCCAGGTTGTGGGCTCCATCTCCAGTAGGGGGTGCGCAGGAGGCAGCGGGTCAATGATTCTCTCTCATCACTGATGTTTCTATCTCCCTCTCCCTCTCCCTCCTTCTCTCTGAAATTAATAAAAACATTAAAAAAATAAAATAAACAAACCAGGCAGTGTTACTGACTCCACTGGGCGGAGGCCAGGAGCGAACACCCTGTGATGCACAGGACAGGCCCTGAGACAGACCTGCCGGCCCACAAGGACCACAGTGCTGGGGCCGAGACCCCGTAGAACAGCGTAAGCAGCATCCAGGCTCCAATTAGCCTAGAATTCCTTTCTCTGCACAAACCTCTGCCCTTTGCGGCGTCCTCTCGAAATGACGCCTCTCGTCCCCAGGACTTGGCTCGAAGCCCACATTCAAGCCAAGGCAACAACAGCGTTTGAGCACGTGCTGCAGGCAGGAGGCGTGCTCAGCGCTTTGGCTGAATTCACAACACCCGGTCCTTTCAAGAACTCTCTGCCGCGGCTCCTGCCACTTCCTGAAGGGCAAGCGGAGGCCCCAGGGCTCAGTCACACCAGGGAGGGGTCATTTATGCGATTCTCAGGCCTGTGCTGGGAGTCGTCACATGGCTCCCCTTGGACTTCCTGGTTCTGTCACTGCCCCTTTCTTCCCTTCGGCGTCCGAGCAGGTGCTGGCACCCCCTGTCCCTGCTGCACTGAGGGGTTCTGGAGGCTTTGACTCTGAACCCTGCAGGGTGGGGTGAGCTGACTGCTCCCCATTCCCCACAGGAAGCGCCCCCCCCTCCCCCATGGGACCCACTGCTCTCCCTGACCCCGGAGGAAGAATCAGACACCTGGATGCTCCGGAGGACCTTGGAGCTGGCTCCTGAGGCCTGTGGCTGGGGGAAGGGTGCTGGGGG